ATCGCCGCCTCACAACCTTCCCGCCAGCTGGGAGAGGCCCCGCCCCCCGGCGCGTTTCCGCCTGCACACGAGCGGAGTGCGTGCGGGGCCGGTGGTGCGAGCGCGGGCCCCGCACGGGGAGCCAGCCCCTCCCGGCGTCCCACACCACCGGCGGGGCGCGGGGCGGCCAGCTCTTGCGTCGGGCTAATAGAAGAGACCTGCCCGGCCCTAGACCAACACGGCTACCTAATACGTCCCCGATTCCCGACTCCAAGCACCGTTTCTAGCAAGGGGGTTTGAGCTCATGGCCAGAAAAGCACGCTCCAAACGTAGCTGTCACAGAATCAGGGCCGTTTTGCAATAATTAATCCCACGAAAACACTCGGGCTTCTATTCCTGCTCAAAACGAGCAGGCTCTCCTACGCCATCAATATTAAGGGGGAAAAAATACAGTGTAAAAGTTCTCAATGAATATAGGTCATTAAAAACATTTATTTAAACATTACCTTTGGGATTTGAAGAAAAAAAAAAAATAAATGTACAGATATATGCAGACATTAAATAGTTTCAAAACCAGATAACAGTTAGTAAAAGCCAGGCGGACCACACAGAGAGGGAGATATATACAGTTTCATTCTAGTAGTTATAATAATGAATATGACGGTTTAAGGAACTGTCTATTTTGAGGCTTCGGTGGTGCCATAATCCCCAGTTTCCGACTGAGTCCTGGCGCTGCTGTCGCCCCAAACGTTGATGAGCTGTAACTAGGTGCAGCTGAGGCTTTGGAGTTGAATGTCTTTTTATATTTGCTGCCACCCCTAGGAATTTAGAGAGAGAGAAAACCCAGTTTAGTACATCAGCATGATACCAGCCAACATCAACCCCTACATTTCATTTAGAACAGAAGTGTCAAACCTATAGCTGACTTGCCAAATTCATCCTAGGCAACTGGCCTACGTGTCACTGTCTTTTTAGACACTGTGGATTTATTTTTCTAGTTTCTTTTTAAGGGGAAAAAGTAAGAATAATATTACTACTACTATTATTAAAATCTACCACCTTTCCCCCTTGTCACACATCATCCAGGTCTGAACTATAAACCCTGGCCAGACTACTATCGCTTGCACTACAGCAGTAGCTATGTTAACGGACAGCAAAGAAGGTTCATCTGAAAGGGAAGATGGAGGTTTCAGTCCTGGAGGCTGGAGCAGAGCCTGGCTTACCCAGGATCTCTGTATTCCCAGGAGCTGGAAAGGCTCTTGTCTCATGTGGTGAAACCAGGGGGAGAGGGCCGAGGACTAGCAGACTGCTGGGCCCACATGCTGCGATTACAGCCAGATGGAGAAGAGCCTGGCCCAATTTCTGCCCCATGTGGTATGACCAAAGTAGAGCTATGAACCCGCTGTATGGGGACCCAATAGAGCTATGAACCCTCTGTATGGGGACCCATACAGAGTTTGGGAAGCCTGCCTTTCTGCCCCCTCCAAAAATCAAGCAGCTGAGCAGGAGGCAGATTCCAGAGAGAAGGCATGGAAGCATATTTAGAACATTTTTTCCTTATCTGAAAATATTTCTTATGTGATTATTTTTGTCATCTTTTCAGTCCTTGGCTCTTTCAGTTTGCTGTCATTCTACGGGATGGGTGGCTGCTAAGCCTGCCACCTCCTTAACTTGACCAAAATGGCACTTGTGTACAGAGAGTACATTAGGAAGTAAGGCGAGAAATGTCTTATTTCAAACCCCTTCCAACTGTTTCCACCTAAAACACATCCCTCCCTGGATTCTTTAAGAGCAAGGAGACTACTGTGACTCAAGCTCGTTTGCTTTGCATTCCACCCTCCAAACCCTGCACAAACATCGAAGTGAGAGGCGCTCCTTGCACCTGTATAAGAATCGTTCATTTTTGGAGCCACTGGGGTTAGCCAGCTTCTGCAGAGTGCGCAGCACCACTGTACAGTAATAAATGATCAAGCAAGTAACAAGTCCAACCATGCAGTGGGTTCAATAAAAGATATCACCCCCAAAACGTCCTTGCCTCGTGAAGAAACAAATCCAGACTTCCAAATTCATGCTTTTCATGCTGCTCTCCCCACCCACTTTCCTATTAACTTTGGGTTCATTTCAGAAGCGTTGCAAACAGCAACAAAACAACGTACCCCTTTGAATAAGACTGTTGACCACCACCCTGACTTGTTTTTTTCTTCTTGGCTTGTTTGAAGGGTGGAAACCTTTTCCTCCTCTTTCCTTTGTTTGTCTTGTTGTTAAAATAGCTTGAAGTTGTG